CTTCGGGTCCTATCTGCCTAAGACGATTAGCAACTACGGCTGCTCTCAGGGCCCAAGAAATGAGCCCCAAAACAGAGCGGGGCGAGTGACTTCCGGCGGCGGTCGGTGAACGTTCGTCAACAAGTAGTGTCAATATCTCCCGACCCCAAAACCAGCAAGACAACAAGCTCCTGGCTGGCTCAGTGGTCAGGGCGTTAGACTCTGCTCGAAAAGCTCGTGAATTCGAGACGCGGGTGGTGCACCATTTGAGGCTGGGTATGACTGGCTGAAGGGGCCATTCCAGTCTCCCTTGTCTTTGCCGGCAGTGTTATCTGCCCATACCACTAAAACGCATGTTATTCAGCTCCTGCCAGGATACAGCCTATTGGAAAAATTTCACGGGTACAATAGCATGGGTCAGATCATGTTTGCAGAACACCTGGAATAAGTTGGTTACCGCAAACTGTGGTCTTTGTACAAACCGTGCCCCCAAGGCTGAGCTCTCGAAATGGCTTCATCATCATGGACACTTTATGGATTATTTTACAGGGCGGCTTTTGCGTCACTACTGATTCCTTCAGTCTGAAATGTGTCTCGTGGAAATACACGAATATTAACAAACGATAGCATGAACTTATTAGAAGAGCGCAGCAGCGACCTCTGAGATGGTGCTTGATATTACCGATATTTCAGTATACTTCAGTCTATTTAAGGGTAATAGTCGGTGCCTTTGAGGACCCGATTGAACACTCTGTAAAGTAAAAACTAAATAAACCTGCTACTGTGATGTTCTCAGTAACATAGGCATAAGTGGACTATTGTTTTCCTCATGGGCTGTCACCACAAGTCTCTGAGTGCCTCTCAATTTTCACCTTGCAGCTGTGGGTTATGACAGTCTTCTGGCGCAATGCCTCAGCGATGACAACCAGCTGGCCCGTTCAGAATTTTCACTCGATGACTCCCTCTTCATGGCCTGTGCCCTGCTCTATCGTGGGAATGCCTCTGCTGCCACAGTGAACACCTCAGTTGATGATGCCAGGCGACAGGGGAAGTTGAACTTTGCTGACTGGTCACCTTGCGGTTACAAGGTAAGCCTCAAATGCCCTTCCTGATGACCTCTACAGTCTTGTTTGAATTACGCGCGATACTGATTTCCCTACTACATGTCGGTTGGATTTCATACATCTCTTGACTCTAGCTGTCCACATAATAATGACGCTGCACTCGGCTTACCACTAACGGTATCACGACAGCAAGAATATATATTGTGTCCTAAAGGGCAGGTGAGACATAATTATTATACTACTAACTCTGTAACAGTAACCATATATTATTAATAGTTAGACTAACCAATAAATGCTTGCTTTTCGCCTCCACGCATGTAATCGACGTTTTTTTCTTCAATTTTTTCCGTCGCATCCATACATTTCCTAGCCATTTCGTTACCACTAGGGAGCCCAAAGGCGCTCGCTTATCCTTCTCTCAATAAAACCGGTACGGATACTGATGAAGACGTCACAGAGACGACAACTAAAATATCAAAGATAACAGTTCGCCCATCGCGAACAGCGATATTAACCGTGTGCTCGCATAACACGAGGGACAGAAGGACACTGATTTTCGCTGCATCTACCATACTCTTTCTTATGTCCCTCCCTCCTGGGCCCGGTGTCCAATCAGAGTCAAGAAGACCGGAGCGCGGAGGCGTGCACAGTAGCTGATAGAAATAAACAGTCCACCCAACTCTCGCCTTGTTTGCACACGACCGACAAGGTCTCCACAGAGAACAAACAGGAGGCGACTCGGATCTCATCTGAATGGGGAGGTCGTAGCGGCAAAAGGAGGAAGGAACCATTACAGCCTGACTCCACCCTGGGATGACCAAATGTACCCCGTCAGTTGATAGCCTTCCACACGACACATTTTAGCGCTCCAGGATAGTTTAGAAGCGCGACATCATGAGAGATATATCGAGAAATTAAGGCTAATCTAGTAAACCCTAATGGCTGCGATATTCCAGGTCCGGTCCTCTAGGAGAGGAAAGAAGTCATGGAAAGGTCAGAGTGGTAGGAACAGTATATTCCGAACAGAAGGAATGAAGAATAGGTAGGAAGAGATTTGACTGTCGGAGCGCAAGTCCAGCCGCGAGGGAGGCGAGGTCCGAAGTGATATCTAGCCACAGTCATCACATTGAGGTCTGTGTCCAGACGGATTGAGGCCAACCTGCTAAATGAGGCTGGTCTACTACCGCGTGAATCTCATTCGACAGATTTAGGTCAAGCACCTATGGATTGAGGCCAGGAAGGGGAGGTACAGTTCTGCGAGTCCTGCACGCAACTTTCCTAAATTTGTTAATGTTTGATTATTTCTCCCATACCAGCGGGAACGCGTTTACGAAAACTTATAAATAATAATGAGCAGCATTAA